AGCCCTGATAGTCTCTTAAACACCTTTGGGGTCATTCTTCCCCTCCTTGAAGAATAGCCACATCCACAGCTGAATAGCTCTATGATCTGGTCCTGTAGAATCCAAGTCCAGCAGCCATTCTTCATTCTGGCCTGTTTTTTCTATCTCCTTTAGTTCAAATTGACAGTGTTTTTGCTGGTATAATTTCATTTCTATTGCTGGATTCTGCTGAGATGGCTGATTAAGTCCATGAGTTGTACCCATGATCTCTTTATCAAATAATTGTTTGGCCACACCGTAATGTTCTCTGCAGAACAAGCTTTCTAATTTTTTACAATATGGATAGGTTGAGAATTTTCCAAATTTCCTCCTTTTTTTTCCTAACAATTTATTCTTCAATTCATCTCTCTCCTTTCACATTTTACTGTAAGCAGTCAGGAGGAACCAAGCCATTCTTCAACACTTCACTTTGAAATTTACTCAGCTAAATATCCAGTTTCATTGTTCAGAAGCTCTACCTTCCACAAAACACAAGAACGATATCCAGCTAAGTTCTTTTTCACTTATAAGTAGGATTGCCTTTCATCCAGTATCTAATAACATGGTCTTCATTTCTGATTCCTCACCAGAATGACCTACAATCACTAGTCCACATCACTATCAACATTCTGTTTATAGCAATGTAGGCTTTTTATAATATATTCCTCAAAACTCCTCCACCCCCTATCCATTACCCAGTTCCAAAGCTACTTGCACATGTCTAGGTATTTGTTACAGCAGCACCCCACTTCTCAGTACCAAAATCTGTATTAGTCAAGGTTAACCAGAGAAACAGAACCAATAAAATGTGTGCATATGCATATGTATATATGTGTGTATACATATGTGTGTATGTATATAAATATAAATAAATACATATATACACACACATACATATACACACACATATATATATTCATAAACAAACATATACATGTGTGTGTGTGTGTGTGTGTGTATATATATATATAGATATATAGATATAGATATATATATCTCCTTTCACATTTTACTGTAAGCAGTCAGGACACTTACAAGCCACTCCTTTGACACTTTGCTCTGAATTATTCATGTGTATATATGTGTGTGCATATACACACACACACACACACACACAGAGATTTATTAAGGAATTGGACCATATAATTATGGACACTAAGAAGTCCCAAGATCTGTAGTCAGCAAGCTGAAGACCCAGAAGAGCCAATGTGTGGTTCCAGCCCAAATCCTAAGGCCTGAAACCCAGGAGAACCAATGGTGTAAGTTCCAGTCTGAAAACCAGCAAGCTGAAGCTCAAGAGCTGTGCTTCCATTCAAATGTGAGGGTCATAAAAGACCAACATCCCAGCTCAAATCAGTCAGACAGGAGGGGTTTCCTCTTGCTTGTA